AAAGCCCTTGAAGTGAGGTGGATGACAGCTACTTCCCCAAGCCCACGGACCGCTCCACTGCTAATGGACTGTCAGCTTCTTTCATTGCTGGCTCCAGACTGTGCAGGCTGGTGTAAAAGTAGTGCCTCTGGCAAGAAGCTGCACTTGGGTCTCAGCTAGTTGACATCTGTGATCTGCCCTTCTTCAAATTGGGACAGCCCTCCCGTGGAGAGCCACTAAGCCAGGACGCCAAATGGTGGTGTAAACTCAGCCGGGTCCCTGCCCACGGCTGTGACCAGGGCTGAGCCTGGGCCTATCAGGAGGCTTGCAGATATCGGGGTCATGGGGGAGCTCTGGTTGGGGACAGTGAGGGCCTTGGTTACATGCTCCCAATCAGCCTTGGGGGTGGGAGGTAGCAGGAAGTTGGCCTGGGGCCTGGCTTGATGAGTTTCCGTGGGGTGTGACTCAAGCGGGTGCCCCAGCGTCCACGCTCCTGGACTCCTGCTTGCATCTCTCTTCCCAGGGAGGACTTGGCACTGTCCCCCATGACAGCCACACATGGGTTTAACAGGAAAGGCAGTGGCACAGCACAGCGTGTGTTCTGTATCTGCATCTGTGCATCTGTGTGTTTATGGTCGGTTTCCCTCAGCAGGAGGACAGGGGTAGCGAACATGCTCTAGTTGCCGTTGGATCTCAGCACCAGCGCAGTCCTTGGAGCAGCGGAGAGGGCCCTCAGTTAGTGTTGCAGAGTGACCTAGTTGCATGGGAGTGGCTTGGGCTCTGTGGGGCTCACGACACGTGTGAGGGCTTGGCTGACACATCACACAGCTGCTGGCCCCTGGCCCTGAGCAGCCAGGGCGAGTGATTCCACTCGGGGAATCTTAGGACCTTCGAAGGTCTAGTTTCCATTCCTGGTAGTCGGAAGCCTCTAAATAATGAAGTGTTGGATGAATGACAGAGAGACAGTAATAAAGCTGTTGTTTACTGCCCACTCACTGTGTGCCAGGCAGTGTTGTAAGGCTTAAATACATTCTTTTAATGCTCGTAACAATCCCGTGAATAGGGTAATAAGGTGTCCTTTTCAAAAGACAGGAAGCTGAGGATCGGGAGAGATTAATCTTGTCCAGGGTCCCCCTCTAGGAAGCCATAGAAGCGTGACTCAAACCTTGGCCTGTTTCAGTGCAAGTTCGGCTCCTTGTCGCTGTGCCTTGTGCACTTTGCCCTGCACGCCTTGCACCTAGGAACTTGATCAGTTGGTCTGTCCTTGGGAATGGGAGGGAACAAAGCGGGTACCTGAGCGGGGCTTCAGAAGGATCAAAGCCCAGCATAGCCTCGGTCAGCTAAGGCTCTGAGGCGAGGCTCCCGGACTTGCTCCCAAAGGTGTGGCTGACCACTACCAGCCTCAAGGTGGTCCAGGGCCTGGCCTATGGATGTGGTTTTCATCGGGGTGGGCCAGCTGCCCCCTGGCTGGCATCTTCCAAGGGGAGCCTGAGAGCCAGTGGGAGAGACCTACAGTGGAAGGAGAGGGAGTGTCTTAAGCTCCCTGTGCTTCTCTGTCTTGACACTTCCTGTTGCACCCGACTCTTCAAAGTGAGGCCCATTCCATCTCTGTGGCCTGCACCCCCAGTTCAGGAGGCCAGCTTTGGGGGGATACTGAAGCCCGGTTGTCTGACCTGCTCTGGCTGGTGGGGCCGAAGTCCCCAGGTAGGCTGCCCATCTTGGACTGTGGACACTACTGCCCACCCAGAGGGACAGAGAGGAAGGTCTGTCCTCAGGTTAAAGGTGCGCTCCTGCCCCCATCTGCCTGTCTTCGGGCGCCTCTCTTCTGGTCTGGCTCACCCACCAAATCCCAGGGCCCATACCACGGTGTGGGGACAGCGCTGCCTCACTCCTCAAAACTGCTTAGCGGCTCTGCCTATGCCCCTGGGGGTACTGGACAGAGCCGCGCGCCACCTTCAGCGTGAGCAGCGCCCGGAGCTGGTTGTCACGTGGGTGTTGGGGACATGGAAACTCCCCCTTGGGTTTCAGTCCTCTCACACTAAGAGAGCGGAAGTGGACATGCACCGGCTGCAGAATAAACACCAATAGCCTCGGTGTGTTGAGGCTGGGCAGAGACGGTGAGGCAGGTTCTCAGGAGAGGTGACAGCAGGGATCAGGGATTCTGGGAAGAAGTGGCCATGGGAGGTGATTGTTCCCCTGAAAACCAAGGTGCTAGTGGGCCCCTGTCCTTGACACCCGCGCTGGAGAAAGCCCGACTGCTGCCTGAAGCTCAGTTGCCCACTTTTCCTTAGCCAGCTTCTTCTGGCTGTAGCTACAGTGACAACTGGAGCATTGAGGCCGGGTGCCAAGGGCATTCCTGCCACCGCCAAGGTCAGAGCCTCCCGAAGAATGAAAGCCCTGACACATCCTTGCTGAGAAACAAACGGGAGGGGACGGCAGGGCATTTAATCAGCTGTGCTGCCGATACCTAATCAAGACGAATGGCCTGGAGAGGTGAGGCCCAGGGAGCACCTCACGGGAGGCAGGGACGCTCAGCCCACAGCTCCCGCTGTTGGGAGCAGTCCCTGGGCCTCTGCACTGATGCCCAGGGGATGCCAGGAGAGGAGCCCAGCTTAGGGCCACGTTGGGAGCCAGAGGTCACTGCAGGCACTGCCTGCTATCACCTACCAGTTGTCACTGTCTCGAACGGGGAGCCCGCTGCATCCCAGGAAGACTCAAGGTACACCACGCAGACCCCACCTGTCAAGGACTCACACTGGGTGAGCAGAGAGGGGCTACCCGAGGCCATCCCCGAGCCGCGAGAGAGGCACAGAGGGCTGTGGGGGTGTGAGGGCGGAAGTGATTGATTTCTCCACACTCCAGTGTTCAGACCCTAATCGGTCACTACCTGTGACTGTCGCCTGGCCTTTGATCCCCCCGGTGCCATCTGCGTGTGGCTGCCAGATCGACCACATGTTCACTGAGCACGTATGTTACAGCCCCTCAGCCAGACTCCAAGGGGTAAATGGTGACTACTATCTGGGCCTTTTCCTCGGGCAACTTGCAGTCCACAGGGAAGGACAGACAAGCAGGCACTGCCTCAGGGGCTCAAGGAGCTCGACTGGAGAAGATCAAGGCGCTTGGGCTTGGTTTATGGGACCTCTAAGCTTCCAGCTCCACCTGTGTGCCGTGCCTGGTAGTTTTGAGGTTTAAATGAAACAGCTAGGTGTGGCGGCACTTGCTTGTACTCCCAGCATTCGGGAAGCTGAGGCAGGAGGATTGCCATGAATCAGGGCCAGCCTGGGCTACATAGCAAGACTCTATCTCAGGAAAAAAGAAAAAAGAGTCCCTTTTCAATTCTTTTCTCTTGTTGCTGGTGAGTATTTTAGAATGTGGCTGTTTTTGTGTAATTTCAGACTTCCCTACCAAAGGGCAGAGGACCCAGGGATGACATGGCAATGTTCTGTTCAGTTCCCAGCACAAGGCCTGGTACCTTCGTTCATGCCTGCAACAAAGATTTATTGAGCATTTGATAAGTACCAGAAATATGTTCAAAGCTGAAAACACTCTGGGAGGCTAAAGCAGGAGGATCACAAGTTGGAGCCCAACCTGAGCAACTTAAAGCCTTAGCCAGACCCTGTCTCAAAAAATTAAAAAAAAAATAAAAAGGGCTGGGGATGTAGCTCAGTGTGGGAGCCCTGGACTCAATCCCTGGTACTGCAAAGACAACAAAACCAACAAGAAACCCTGAGAACAGAAGATGCCCGTGTGGAGCTTATAAGATAGTAAGGGAGACAGGGAAGGAGAGAAACAACTATTCATGTGGAGCCTTGTGGTATGTTCGGAGTGTTTGGGGGCCTGCAAATTCCTGTGGGAAACCTGATCACCAGGTGCGGTGAGAATAGGAGGTGGTGACTTTGGGAGGCATCTGGGTCTGGGCCGTTGAAAACAGAGCTCTCAAGAATGAGATTAGTGCCGGGCGTGGTAGAGCACCCCTGTAATCGCAGCACTCGGGAGGCTGAGGCAGGAGGATCACTGAGTTCGAGGCCAGCCTGGGCTACAAAGTGAGCTCATGGCCAAACTGAACTTCATAGCGAGACCCTGTCTTTAAAAAAAGACAACAACACCAAAAAAAAATGAGATAGTGCTCCTAGTATACAAAAGCCCCCAGGGCACTGCCCTGCCCCTGTCACCACACAGCCACGGGTGCCATCTATGAACCAGAAAGTGAGCCCTCATCAGACACCAACCTGGCCTGAAGCACGGACTTCAGTCCATTGGGCTGGAACTGGGAACAAGTTATGTGATTTTTTTTTTTTTTTTTTGTCTTTTTGAGACAGGGTCTCACTGTGCAGTTCAGGCTGGCCTTGAGCTCACTTTGTAGCCCAGGCTAGTCTTGAACTTACAACGATCCTCCTGCCTCAGCCTCCCGAGTGCTGGGATTGCAGGTGTGCGCCACCACGCCTGGCTGGAACTGGGAGAAATACATTCTCTTGCTTAGAAGTCACCTGCTCAGTGCAGTTTGCTTACTGCGCCCGGATGGGCCGAGGCAGCATTATGTGGACATGTAGTGGAAGGACCACCCATTTGGAGCCCTTCTTTCAGGAGAGTCAATCCAGTTTGCTGAGATGGAAGTCCCAGTGGGGTGACTAGGAAAGTTGGGGTGTGGCCTTTGCCAGAGATTGTCAAGGTGGCTTCTCATCAAATCTCCACAGCCCCAGGGAGCTGATGGAGCAGGAGCTGAGGGAGTGGCAGGTCTTACGGGTCCCACAGTGGGGCTTCCAGGATCGCTAGCTTCAGGGCAACGTCTCATTAGTTTGTGGTTAGAGTTCAACTAGGCAAAACCATCTTTACCAGCACTATTAGCATATTTTAAGATACTTGTCCCTATGCGTGTGTGTGCCCAGGTCTGTGTGTGCATGTGGGCCTGCAGATGCCCCCGCTCCTGGCCCTGGCAGTTACCCTGGGCGGTGAGCAGGCACTGAAAATTACGGGAACTCAAGACAACAAGCGGTACCTTGTAAAACAATCTCAATTACCAGATAACCAATCTCCATGCAGTTCTGGGGAGGATGAAAGGAAACCGCAGGGGCTGTGAGGAAATGATAGCTCAGGGGGGCTCCTGGCAGTGGCGGGGAGAGCCAGTGCCGTTCTTTATCCTGGCAGCTCAGCGGCGAGGCTGGGCCTGGCTCCTCTGCCGACGAGGGCCGTCCTTTCCTGGGTGGGGATGGGGTGGAGATAAGCGGATCCCTCAAGCGAGGCAGAGCTCTGTGTAATCTGCCGCCTGGTGTGTGGCTGCCGCTGAGCAGGCTCTGTGCAGCAGAAGACCCGTGTCCCCAGGAGGCCCTGCCCTGGGTCGCTACAGCCTGCCTGGCTGGGGGTGACAGCAGCTTTCCAAGGCTGCTGACCAGTCACGGTGACGGCCACTGTGCCGAGATCTGGTGGACACTTGGGGTTCCCCATCCCTTCCCTGTGGGTCTCTCACGAGGCCTCCCCGTGTCCTGAGACATCTGTGTGTGGCTCGCATCCGTGACTGAGGGGCTAGGTGGCTCGCTGAAGGTCACACAGACACGGGCAGCACCACCAGGACCTGCTCGCTGCTCCTTCCAGATGCAGTGCCTGTGGGGTGAAAGTCATTTTCACTTTCAACACTTTCTCTTTCATTCAAAGTGAGGAGGGGAGGCATGATGGGTTGTTTGTTATAAATCTCGTCTTCAATCTAAATCTCTTAAAATGTGGAAGGCGCCAGCCACAGCTGCCTCTCCTGCCCCATCTTTTCTCCTGTTCTCTTTCCCCCTCTGTCCATCCCCTCTCTGAGTTCTTTCTGAGGTCTCCCCATCTCCACCTGTCTCAGGCCAACTGCCTCGGGGTTGCAGGAGGAGGAGAGGTCGGGGCCACCCTCCGGGAAGGGGTGGACGGTTCATTGTGCTGTGTCAGACCAAGTGGGTCAGGAGGTAGACAAGGAGAGACACTGGGGCCTGCAGGCTGGGGGAGGAAGAGGAAGCCGGCTTTCCAAAAGCTGCAGAGCGTGCCCAGTTCTGACGGCTCAGCCGTAGCCGGGAGAGTCAAGAGGGTGCAGGTGCTGTAGGCCTCCGGGGGACCCTGAGATGAGCTCTCTAGAAACCACAAAGAGCACCCACCTCTAACAAGTACACCGTGCCTGGGGAGCAGGCACTACAGAAGATTCCACACAGTTATAATTCATTGTAATCTCATTTACACTGTGGCTTTGACCTCCCTCCCCTGTGGGCTCTGGGTGCCATGACGGTTGCTCAAAGGTCCACAGAGGGACAACAACCCCCTCCAACAAAAAGGAGACTTGTCCCTGACTGGAGTGAATTGCCGCGCACGTCAAAGAGCTTCCTCCCTGTAAAAGCCACCTCTGGGTGCTGACACCTGGCTAATAAACGTACACCTTCACTCCACTTCTGTGTCCTGGCACTCTAATTCTTTGTCCTGAATACTGAGAACCTGGGACAGTCACCACCCTGGACAGCACCAACCGCAGAAGTCGTGCCAGCCGTCCCTGAGATCTGGAGTCAGCTTTAGGCGACAGCAGCATCAGGTGAAGTCACCTACAGAAGCACACACTGCAGTGCCTCCCCACCCTTGCTCTCACTTCCCCTGCTATCTCACCTGAACCGGGGTCACAGTTGAGACTCATAGCAATTCCGTGATGGAGTTATGAGAGCTCCCATTTCATAGATGAGGAAACTGAGGTTCTTTCAGCAAGTTAAGCACCTTGTTGTTAGTGTCCCCAGATAGACACAGCGACCCAAGGTCACAGGGCTGGCGGTGCAGGAACTGGCTCTTCTGACTGCTGACCCACTGTTCCTCCTACTCCAGCGTTCTGTGGTGTGGGCCAGGGTCCAACAGCAGGCTGGAGCCTCGGGAAGGCAGGACTGAGGCTGGAGGACCCGTGGCTCCCAGATTCCTTCTGAAACCAGGGTCTGGCCCACCAGAGATAAAAATACAAACCAGAGCCCGCCTGATCTGCCTGGGGCGGCAAGCGTGCTCACGATGGCTCCCCCGGTGAGGATAAATGCCAACAAGCGGGGTGCTGCCGCTGATTGGGAGATAATCTCCCTGAGAAATGACGAGTGCCAGTTGCTGCCGCGGCTGCCGGGCTGCGTCTGGGCCCCAGTGCTGACGCGCGCTCCACCCCTAGATCAGCACTGTCACTTGCTTGTTGGAAAAACAGATGTTATTGTCCTCTGTTCCTGTCCCTCTGTCCCTAATAGGCACTTAAGTGCAGGAGGAGAAAAGAAAAATGGAGACCGAATCTCGTGACTGCCTCAGGCTCTTTGTGGAAGTGGGGAGTGCGAAATTGTGTGTCTGCAGGACTTGGGGCGTGGGACGGGGTGGGTGCGGGGGGACCCTCCCCTGCCCTGAGTGCTCCTGGGACGCCCTGGGGGAAGCTGCCCTGTCTGTGTGCCTTCAGATCGGCACCTGGACTGGGCCCGAAGCTTACGTTCAGAAGACGGGATGCTGAGGACCTCTGGCCTTCTGCCAGGACTCCCAGAGTCTGGAGGATTGGAAGAGGTCAAGGGCATTCATTCATTCATTCATTCATTCACTCACTAGGGACAATCAGTACCTGACAGCACGGTGGTTTGCAGGTAGAAACTTTTCCTGGAAAGGACAGTCCATCCTCTTGCAGCAGGTCAGCGTGGCTATGATTTAATGGGAGCTCAGAGGCCGGCCTGCCCCTAAATAGCTTGCATCAACCCGCCTCAGTCCCGAGGATTCCGCCATTCGTCAGCCTTTGAATGAAGGCATTATATTTCCCAAAGGTCCTTGCTAAAATACTAGCGCATAACTAAGGAGGTTTTCACAGAGGGGAAAAAAAAACTCTGCCTGTCACCATGGGGAACAGAGGGTCAGGATCTAAAAAGAATGCTGTGAAAGATGGGTAGGTTTTGTTGGGAGAAAGATGAGCAACATCTGGCCCACAGGCCGCTGCCCTGGGAGGGGGGACCTAAGGGACTGCATGAATGAATGAAGAACTTCGAGGAAGCTGTTCTTAGAGGGACTGGACTGGCTGCCCCCACCTGCTTTGAGACGGCAGGGTAAGCACAGACCGGCAGAGAACGAGCCTATCCTCTCTGGTCCTGACTATGGTGCGGGGAATGCACAACTGACCCTCAAAACCGTCCCCACAGGTACCTCCCTGCACAGCTCAGTGGGCAGAGGGGGCAGAAGTGGTGGCGCCAGCACCTCCTCCCTCGCCCTGAGCCCTGCTGCCTCACCCCATACCCTGTGCTGAGCTGGGGGGCTGACTGCAGGAGGGTGCAGGTCCCTGACCAGGGGCTTCCCAACACGAAGTGCCCTGGTCCACCCGGACAATTTTGATGAAAGAAGAGCAGACCCAGTCATTGAGTTGGGGCAGAGGGCACCCTGTGCAGTCACCCCCTTTCCTTCAGGAGATAATTAACTGGGGAGGAGCCTGCCGGGCGGAGATGCCCTTTGTAACCCCTCTCTGCTTAATATTCAGAACCTATTTCACCTTCAAGTAGCAGAGTGCCTGAAAGAGTCGCATCACGAAGCACATTAGAATTCACCTTAAATGGTTTCCATAAAGACAATTATTATTAGCCGTGATAATTCCAGGGGGGCGTGCGGGCTTTCAGACTGCAGGAGCCAAAGGGGTGGGGGAGAGCTGGGTCCCTGTGGCCCTCTCTCCTGCTCCAGGAAGCCCTGAGGGAGGGTCTGTCTGGTGGCTTCCAAAGCCCCCAACCCTGTCCTTGCAGCCTCCCCGCCAGCAACCCTGCCCTAGCGTGAGCACTCCACCCAGCAGCTGACTCCACAGTCCTGAGCGACTGTAAGGGCATCATCCCGGAGAAAATGGAAGGAGACTGCCAAGGATCCTACAAGCCCGGCTGAGCTCTGGGCGGCCCTTTCTTCCCTCCTCCACTCTTGGTCCCACCTGCCCACACCTGTCAAAAGAGGTCTCTGCGGTGCCAATGGCTTCGGCTAAGGTGGACACACAAAGACTTAGAATGGGGGAGCCTGGAAGGCCACTCCCTTTACCCCTAGCAGGGACTGCTTATCCAACAGCCCTGCGCTGGATCATGGCCTACATCTGGGACCTGGGCCGCAGGCTCCTTAAAACATTCCTTACACGTTCCCCATGCTGCGGAATTAACCTAAGGCATCAGAAGAGAGGACAGTAGGGACCCTTGCTGGGGAGCATGAGCAGGGGGCTGTGGACACCAATTGAACAAGTACATGCACTTGTGAAGGTTCACTGAATGATTTACGTTATTGTTTTAGTCTTTTTGAGACAGGGTCTCGCTAGGCAGTTCCGGCTGGCCTTGAGCTCACTTTGTAGCCCAGGCTGGTCTCGAACTCACAACCATCCTCCTGCCTCAGCCTCCCGAGTGCTAGGATTACAGGCTTGCGCTACCAGGCCTGGCTATATACACTTTAAATCTGTGCACTCTGCTGGATGTATGTGCCACCAAATTGAAAAGTTCACCCCCAGAGCCCTTCGTGAAGTAAGGAAAGTTCCTGCTGCCACAATACGTGGAACGAGCTCCCTTGGGATGGGCGGCACGGATGGCAGAAGCAGCGGATAATCCACGGCTGCTTTCTGCCTGACTTGCCGTCACCGTGTTCACACCGGGTGCTCGTGTTCCTAGCAGATCCGCTTCTGTAAGTGTGTACGCTCTTGCTCACGTTGAAATTAATTGGCAATTTCTGAACACATACTACTCACCTTTGGGGGTGAGATGGTCCTGAAGTATTCTGGGTGGCAAGGAAGTGAGACTGAGGCAGGACTGAGACTTGGATGAAGATCACCTCTTCCCTCCTGTCCCTTAGTCCAGTGTTGGATGCCGTTGCTGCAATGACATGTCTCTCCTGCTTGGATGGGGTCCAAGAGCGATCTTAAAGAACAGAGACTCCCTCTCTTGGTACGAAGGATCAAGAAAGAAACTGCCCAGGAGGGCCCCAGAACCTGATTCCAGGCTGGTTACCATGGTGCCCTGTTTGGAATAGGCCCCCCGCTCCTGGAGGTCACCCCAAGCCGTGTGCCCTCGGCCTGCTCTTTTTTTCCGGTACCGGGAATCGAACTCATGACCTTGTGCTTGCCAGGCAGGCGCTGTGACCCTGAGCTAAATCCCCAGCCCAGCCTGCTCTTTTTTGGCCAGAGGTAGAGTCTCCTTCTCTGTCCTTTGAATCCAGATTGGGTCTTTTGACTTGTGACCAGCAGGAAACAGAGAAAGGGGTACTGCCTCACCCTCTTGGGACTCCTGAGACTGACTGCTGTGCCACGGGCCATCTGCCCCATCCCCTAAAAGATGAGAAGCCGTGTGAAGCAGAGACGAGCCACCCCAGCTGAGGTCCCTGGGCCACCCTGCCTTGACCCGCTTCAAGCACCGCATGTATGCGAAGCTGGTTTGAGGCCTTCGGCCATCCCAGCCACCAGCGGGCTGCAGCCGCACGAGTGAGCCCAGCCCAATGGCCCTTGCAGAGGACCAGGAGTAAATACACTATGGCCCACCTAAGCCACCAAGCCTTGGGGCAGCTGTCATGCAGCAATTCATAACTGATAGAGTTACCACCACCCTTGCCTGAGCCGCCCGGGGCCAGCACCACATCCTGACGGGACAGGATGGTGCCCTCGATGGCTCTGTCCATTCTTCCTGCCCGGAAGCCTCAGAAGCAACTTTCTTCCCAAGCTTTGTTTCTTTGCTTGTCCCCACCAGTTTCCAGGGCTGACATGGCAGTGCCCATTGCTCTTTATTAGTTTAATATATGTTGAAGCCTCCAAATAGATGCTGGGGCCCAGGTGGGACAGATGAAATGTGACTAAGTTCTGGGGCATGATTGATAATGAGTAGGGACTGGAAAATCAATTGTGTTAATTCCTGGTCTGTCACTGGGACCGAGAATTAATGAGAAAATCTGTCTAACTTAATGGTATTTACACATTATACAGAGTGTGATAAAATTGTCTGCAGGTGCTCCCTGGCATTCCAATTACACAAGGCTGGCATGGCCCGGGGTGGGCAGGTCTGAGCAGTCCGGGACCTGGGCCGGGCATCTGCAGCCGCCTTGAGCTCCCTCCACGTTCACACACTCTCTTCTGAGTGGGTCCCAGGCCTCTTGTGGATCTAACTGCCACGGCTGGGTCCTGCCAAGTGTGGGCCGGGCCAATGGCAGCGTCTCTGGGGTTGGTGGAAGAGCACATTCCAGGCCTGCTTCTAGGATAAGCACTCCAGAAGCTGTCAGGGCGGTTGGACCGTGGCCAAGGAGGGCTCGATCTTATGTGTTGGTGAGGTCCATGGTTTGGGAACACAGATAATTCTTCCGACCCCCAGAGCCCTACCCCAGAGAAGATCAGCACCAACTTGGCCCCACGGTCTTCTGTACCAGGCGCTGTGGGGAGGCTGCCTTGAAAAGCATCCTAGAAACTGCTGGAAGAGCCTGCCTTGGGCTGCGGGCTTGCTTCCTTCAAACTGTACACCAGGCTTGTCCTGACCAGGGCTGCCCCGGGAGGTGGTGTGGCAGCCAACCACTGAGATGGCCCCCGGCTGCTGATGCTCACACCCTCATGTGGCCTCCCCTAGGGCATGAGTGAGCTGGGGAGCCAACGAGAGATCTCAGAAATAACTGTGATGTCAGAGGCTAAGTCATAAGGTAATGGGGCAGCTCGGCCTTGTTTTCTCAGGGAGAGCCTGATCATGGGGAGGCCGATGTGGGGGAGCTAAGTAAGACCTCCTGTGAGTAGGCAGCTCCACATGGATGAACCACCTTGCAGGCAGATCTTGTGGCCCTAGACCACCAGGCCCCCCAAGAGTCCCTGAGCTGAGCTGTGCCTGAGTCCCTGACCCATAGACACCAGTAGGAATAGAGGTGTTAAGGACTAGAGTCAGGGATGATTTGTTATGCGGCAGTACATGACTAATACAGGTGGATGTAGAGAGCCCTTCCTGGTCCTTGTTGTGGTCCTAGAAGTTTATATATATATACATATTTTTTGTCTTTTTGAGACAAGGTCTCACTATGCAGTTCAGACTGGACTTGAGTTCACTTTGTAGCCCAGGCTAGTCTCGAATTTGCAGTGATCCTCCTGCCTCAGCCTCCCAAGTGCTGGAATTACAGGTATGTGCCACCACGCCCGGCGAGAAGTTTATAGTTGTATTCCCATGGAAAAGTTATTGGAATTCTAACAAGTTAATTCCAATCTACCACTTTCAGTACAACCCATGGCGAGAATAAAGACACTAAGACATATCTATAGTTATGGGGAGCAAAGGGGGTCCTAAGTCCAGCCACGATGATAGCTAGAACAAAGACCTGTACCTAGGGCTGAACCCATGTTTTATTCATTCATGAAGAAGGGAGTGGCTTGAGGATGAGTGACTGTGAGAATGGCAGGAAATAGGTGAGTGCTGTGAGCTGGGCTAGGTAGGAGGCCTGAAATTACCTCTGCAATATGCAGAGAGGATATGCAGAAAGAGTAATCTGCGTAACACAATTGAGGTGGTGTCTAATGTTTTGGGGTTGGTGCTTCAGCTCTGATATGCAATCTTTTATGCCCTGGGAAGTCATAGCCTCTTGTCTCGAGGCTGATCCCAGCCAATAGCGAGGAGCACGGCTCTCCCTCCTGCCCGGCTCACACATGTTTTATTTGGGAGCTACGGGGGTGGGGTAACACTGCCCTGTCCACACGGCTTCAAAGACTCCCATCAGCACCTGGCTGGACCAATTTGCATTGCTTAAAGCCAATTGAAGGGATAAGGAAAAATCCTAGCCAGCTCTGTACACATCAATACATGGGAACTGGGCCAGGCCAGGCTCAGCCAAAATGGAGACAATTGCTCTTCTTTCAAGGAGAGTCCAGGTGGTCCTCCACAGTGGGGAGGGGGAAGTGGGCAGGGCTAGGGTGACCTCACCCTGCAGTGTGGCACTCATGGGAGATACCCGTGTGTCTTCCTACACTTTCTCCCTGGTTTCCATCCAAGTCCACTTCTGTGTTTTTACCCCTTCTTGCCCTTTCTCCTCTGTGCCTTCACTATGCTGCTTTCTTTGCCCAGAACTCCCTTCCCTGCTTCTCCCTCTCTTCTTCCTGATATAAACTCCTATTCATCCTTCAGGACCCAGCTCAAACATGCCCTCTGTTGTGAACACTTTCCCAGTCTGTCCTGGGGAGAGTTTGAGTCACTTTCTTTGGCACCCTTGTGATACTCTGTCTTAGGGGACACTGGAGGGGAGTCTGCGTGTGAGCTCTCCAGATGGGTCAGGAGTTTAGAGCTGGGGGTGCTTTCATGAAGTCTGCCGTTTTCACCTGCGCTCTGACACCTAGAGCATGTTAAATGTGGGGGCGCTGAATGGATGAATAAAGGAATGAGTGTGCCCGCTGTTTCCTGTGCCTGACAGGCAGTCCTCTAGGGTCCCTCCCCCCGATCCCAGGCCTGGAGGGCAGATGAGCAGCAGTCAGACAAATCTGGTTTCTAAAACAGGTTTAAAGGTCTTTTCCCAGAGACCCTGAGCTCATTTCTTCTTGCTGTGTCTCCAAAGTGCCACGGCAGCAATTCAGATTTCAAATGCCCCGAACAAGGTGCAGCCAAGTTCTTTATTGCACAGAATGAATTTGTTATGTAGGGATTCTCTGGCCTGAAGGATGGCTTAATGTCCTGATGTCACCTGGCTCCCCAGCCTGGCCAGGGCCCAGAACTGGTGAGTGTGTTTGCTGGCCTGTTTTCTGAGAGGAAGGCTAAGGGGGCTGCAGGCACCCACAATCAGGCAGGTCTCCAGCAGACTCCAGCCTTCTGGCTAGTGCACCTATTTCTTGAGTATTTTGCAGGTCCAGAAACATCAAGTCATTCATCTGAGATCGCACAGCAGGAAATGACAGGGCTGAGGTTTGCTTCCAGGTCTATCTGACTTCAAGGCCCTGCCCTTGACCACTGGACCATACTGCCTAGGCCTGCCAAGTCCCTGTTTGGCTGCTCAGGTTATATGAGGCCCCTATAACCTAATCCACCCAGGGGCTTTTTTGGGATTCCAGCAGGATTGAGCCAGAGGTTGAAGGAAATGACAGTCTGGGACTGAGGTTCCTGGGTCTCTGGTCCCCCAGGCTGCTCCAGCTCCCAGAATACAATCTGAGACCCTGAGGCTCCCTGTTTAGCCAAATCCGACTTCTGTTGGAGGCAGAGGCGGGGAGGCTTGTGGGCTGTGGCTGTGGGGCTTTATCTCTTGGAACTCTGCAGTGCATGTGGAAACCTGTGAACCAAAGGAGGAAAAAGATTAAAGAGAGAAAGGATTAAAATCTACAGGGCTTCCCGCTCAGCAGAGCCTCTCGCAGAAGTGACTGAGCGATCTCTCTATCAGACAGCCGGGCAGCCACCGGCTCCCACCCCCATCTTCAGCCCCTGGAAAGCGGCGTGGTGGAGGCACAGAGGGGGAAGGGCAGGACAAAATGCAGAATGGACTTCACCTAAATAGAAACCCAGGCAGAACTGTAGGAAGGCACGGGGGCATCTTCCATGAGCACCTCGCTGCAGGGTGAGGTCACCCTGGCCCTGCCCACCTTCTCCTTCCTCACCTGTATTAGCTTGCTATTGCCGCATAACAAACTACCCCGGAATCTAGCAGCTAAGAGCAGTGATGCACATCTCTTCCTGCCAGTTTCTGTTGGTAATGAACTCGGGAACAGTTAACCCAGAGGTTGGGGTCTCCCAGAGAGAATGAGGCTGAGTTTCCCAGGTTCTTAGGCACTACCTCTAAGGTCACTTTTAGTCCTGAATTGCTTCCCCCACACTCCCAATAATCACTGCTGCTAGCTGGGCTCCCACGTTCCCTAGAGTGACTGTGTATGTGGCCAGAGTGTCCAGCAGTACTTAGGGAGGCTGAAGCAGGAGGATCACTAGTTTGAGTCCCACCTGGACAATTCAGTGAGACCCTGTCAGCCTAGAGGCTGTGATATCAGCATCCCTGGGTCCTTTTCTCAGAATCATGGTAGCTTTAGTCTGGAAAAGTAAATGTTCACTGCCTTCCAACTCCAAACTCTGCCACCCTCACCCCTCTCCTGCTGCACCCCTTCATTGCCACATCTTTCATCTCCAAAAAGGATGCTTCCAGCAGCTGTTGGGTGCTGGAACTAAGAGCCTGCATTCATGGAGAGCTCACTATGGGTGAGGTTGGTAATAACTCTACTAACTACTAACTCTGTGTAGCCTCTTTGTGAGGCAATTCCCCCATTTTACAGATGAGGAAACAGATACACAGCAGGCGCTTGCTGAAGCTACAAAGCGCTTAAACGGCACGGTAAGGGGTTGAACCATAGTGATCCTCCTCCAAAGTCCAGGCTCCCAGCCTTAAATCTGCAGTATCTCTATTATGAAGCTAAATTCCCATTCCAAGAAGAAGCCATGCTCCTCAGATGGGAGTTGGAGTTCAGAGTATAGCAAGAAAGAGGAACAGACACCTGGAAGTCTTTTGCGGTGTACAGGTTAGGCAGACAGCTTTGTCCTGAGAGTGCCCAAAAAATGGGGTCTCCCCCGGCTGTGGTGACAGTGGCCAAAGGCCAAAGCACTGTGGTCATTCTTTAAAATGGTGCTAATACAGTGAACTTACAAATTCTCCACTGTGAAGAGTGCAGCCCCTCACTCCATTTGCCTTGCTTGCAATTGTCACGCCGTCTGTGTCCAGACTCTTTGGCGTGGTCTCTTCTGGAAGTGTCACCTGGCCCTCAGGACTGCCCCCTCCCTCCCTGAGTGCACGTGGCTGCTGGCAAGGGTGGGACAGCGCACGGACGGATGGGAGGCGGCAGTACCAACATGCTTTCTTCCACTGCAGAGAGGCGGTATTAAAATGATCCGCCTTTGAGGTTCGCTCTCCGCTTCAAAGCCCCACAGCCGCTCTGCAGATGATGGGCTCTAACAACGGCATGAAAGGGAGTTTATCAATAGTACCTGGAGCTCGGGAACTCATAAACCTTTCATTAGTTTTAAACCGATGACGGCTCCAGTCGGAGGAAGTAGGTTTGGACTCGAAGACGGATGTCTCCATAAAGCATCATCTCTGGAAATTAGGGAAATGGAGGGCGCTTCTTTATAGGCTTTCCCAGCAGCCCGCTTGGGGAGCTGTGCTTTCTCACTCCCATTCTGAGCTAACACCAGGATCTGAGCTCCACTCCCTGGGATGGGGACACGTAGAAGGCGCAGAGAGGGGCCTCCAAACACTGCCCTTCCCTGAGGCACCTCTGCTGAGAGCTGCTTTTCTGGGCTTCTTTGCTTGTCTTGTTATCTACAGAGAGAGCAGCGAACAGGTTTCTGGAAGGTGTTTCTGTGAGAGAAAGAAACAGAAGCCAGAGCAGCAGCAGGAGCGCAAAAAAGAGGGGAGCCTTTTGCTTGCTACTGAGAATAATATTAATAACAGCACTTAGTGCCTGCCACGTGGACGTTAGCAGTATGGATTAGCCATTATTTGGAACATTTCTTATGTGCCACGTGCTCCATTAATGATTTATCTTTATACTATTCTTATCACTATGCTCCCGTTTTAGAGATTTAATTTTTAATTTTTTTTTCTGGTATCAGGAATCGAACTCA